TATACGCTGTGTAGCATCCCAATGTGATGTTGCGGGGCGTCTCGATTGCCTTGAAATTTGGTGTGCAGGGCCTCCTCAGCACGCTGATTCCGAAAATCACTGCCTTTGGGGTGGAATTTTGCGGAATTTTCGAGCTATACGCTACGAAACATCCCAATGCGATACTGCGGGCGTCTCAATTGCCTCCAAATTTGGTGTGCAGGGCCTTCTCAACACGCTGATTCCGAAAATCACTGCCTTTGGAGTGGAACTTTGCGTAATTTTCGAGCTATACGCCACGTAACATCCCAATTTGATATTGCGGGCGTCTCGATTGCCTCCAGATTTGGTGTGCAGGGCCTTCTCAACACGCTGATTCCGAAAGTCACTGTTTTTGGGGTGGAATTTTGCGTAATTTTTGAGTAATACGTATATACGCTGCGTAACATCCCAATGTGATATTGCGGGGCGTCTCGATTGCCTCCAATTTTGGTGTGCAGGGCCTTCTCAACACGCTGATTCCGAAAATCACTGCCTTTGGGGTGGAGTTTTGCGTAATTTCCGAGTTATACGCCGCGTAACATCCCAATGTGATATTGCGGGGCGTGTAACTCTAATATCCGCAATATCCAACTGTTGTGTTGCGCGGCGTATAACTCGGAAATTACGCAAAAATCCACCCCAAAGACGGTGATTTTCGGAATAAGCGTGTTGAGAGGGCGCTACACACCAAATTTCAAGGCAATCGAGACGCCCCGCAGTATCACATTGGGATGTTACGTAGCATGTAACTCGAAAATTACGCAAAATGTCACCCCAAAGGCAGTGATTTTCGAATCAGCGTGTTGAGAACGCCCTGCACACCAAATCTGGAGGCATTCGAGACGCCCCGCAATATCACATTGGGATGTTACGTCGCGTATAACTCGAAAATTACGCAAAATTCCACCCCAAAGGCAGTGATTTTCGGAATCAGCGTGTTGAGAAGGCCCTGCACACCAAATTTGAAGGCAATCGAGACGCCCCGCAATATCCAACTGGAAATTGGATATCAATCTGCTGCTAGATTGATATCCAATTGCCAGTTGACATCCAATCTGCTGCTAGGTTGACAGGCGAGCGACGCGGACCTGCCAACGCGGTCAGCCGGAGCCGGCCGCCGGCAATCACCCCCGGCCGTTGTTGTGTTCCCTTCCCCGGTTCCGCACCACCTCTGCTACGACCCCTGGTTTCCGCACATCCACCGACCGTACGGAACCGGCCACCCATTCCATGTCCGTTTCCTTTCCCCCCGCTAGTGATCGCCCCATCAAGAATGGCCCGGCCAGGTAAGGCCAACGAAAGGGCCGTCGCCGCCGCCGCCGCCGCCGCCGCCGCCACCGCAACCCAGCTGACACGCGCGGCACGGGATCGGCCCGGCGCCGCTGGCCTCGCCGGCTCCGCCCATGCCGCCTGACAGTCGCCGCCGCCGCCACCCAGCCGGAATGTGATATTATCTCACCATAGTGACGTTTTCCCCATGGAGTGGGTTCTGCCCAAGTATCATTCCGCCGTTGCTTCGTTCGAATCCCGCAGCGGACTCGCCCCTCCACCACTGTTGGGTTCCCACAAACACATCAGATTGATTCGCCTTCGCTACCCCAATCTGCTGAACTGGGGGAGCATATGCACGTACCTTGTGCCGGTATCTGAAGACCGCACCGTGGACTAGCGGGGCCGCCCCAAGAGCGTGCGAGCGCGATAACGCACGACATTACATTACCCCTGCCACTGCCTCGCACCCACACATCACACGCCTCGCTCCGGCCGCGCACCGCGCCACACCCGTCCTGGAAGCCCTCCAGCATGTGACGCAGACGATAGAGCGTTAATCCTGGCAGGAATGCTAACGCCACCTATGGGACTCCCCGGGACCTAGAGGTTTCCACCTCAGTCGGCGGGATATCCGGACATCACACGCACTCAAACAGGTATCGGCAGGATGAGCCGTAATACAAAGTGGCCAGCTCGAGCACGGGCAGACTTTCGGATTTAGTGGGAGGCTTGTACGATGATAAGACGTGTGTCCATCCGACGACCTTGAGAGTGGAGTAAGCCGTCTGAATTTCTAATCAATGGACGAAACGATCGTATGCTTTACAAACCATGGACAACCAACCCACTCTGGAGGGAGGAGTTCCAGCCGTGTTGCATGGGCGAGAGGTGCGGCAGCGGTCTCTGGCCGACACCCGCGACCTATCCAGCAAACAGTTCGGGTCGACGCTGATTCGATAACTAGGACGAACTACCAGATTTCTCCCCAGTCTCTCCCAGACCTCTCCCGACGAGTTGTGCGGAGACGACTATGGCATGTCATGGAGAGACGACTCTGACAAGTCATGGGGAGACGACTCTGACAAGTCATGGAGAGACGACTCTGACAAGTCATGGGGAGACGACTCTGACAAGTCATGGATGGACGACTCTGGCAAGTCATGGGAGACGACTCTGACAAGTCATGGGGAGACGACTCTGACAAGTCATGGGGAGACGACTCTGCAAGTCATGGGAGGACGACTCCGACAAGTCATGGGAGGACGACTCTGACAAGTCATGGAGAGACGACACTGACAAGTCATGGGGAGACGACTCTGACAAGTCGTGGGAGGACGACTCTGGCAAGTCATGGGGGGACGACTCTGACAAGTCATGGGGGGACGACTCTGGCAAGTCATGGGTGGACGACTCTGACAAATCACGGGGAGGCGACTCTGACGAGCGCGACACCACGGCGCCAAATATGGCACAGTAGACACGACGCACCGCCGTGTCCCCGCCACGGCCAATACGCCTCCGAGGCGCGCGCTTCCCCCTGCTGACCGCTGCGCGTGCCGTCCGCAGCGGTCAGCAGGCAGCTAATTCACAGTCGATGATGTGACGGAGCGTAAGCCGCCCAGGGACACCGACTAACCTCCGCGAGCCTCGGTCAGCACGGAGTCAGGCTCACGCCAGCCCATATTCTATGCAACCATGAACGACTAGTCCGCTTCGGAGGGAGGTCCCACTGCTGCGCTGCCTGGTCGACAGGCGCGCCCGGACACGGAGTATGCATCCGAGCCATACCGGGGCGGGAACCGAGACGGCTGGGACGCTGGAGAGACCGCGTCCCATCCCGGCCAGCTCCCCCTCCCCCCTCCCGCCCCGCCGAACCGGGTCAAAACCGTGCACAAGGGAGCACGGTTTGGGGCTGGGTACCTTACAAGTGGCCCGGGAAGCCTCCGAGGACGCGGGAGGGCTGCCCAACACGGCCGTACGGGGCGGTCGGTCGGCCACCGGAGCGGCCGGCGCGACGCGGGCCTGCCAACGCGGTCAGCCGCAGCCGGCCACCAGCAATCACCCCCGGCCGTTGTTGTGCTCCCTTCCCCGTGTTCCGCACCACCTCTGTTACGACCCCTGGTTTCCGCACATCCTCCAACCGTACAGAACCTGCCACTCACTTATCCATCACACACCCATTCATCCAAGCCCCCAAGCCCTCCCCCTTCTACGTCGCCCGATCCAAAATAACCCGGTCAGGTAAGGTGCGTGCCGCGTACAACTTGTGTGCGGCGGCTTGTGGGCGTCCATGACTCCGTACTACCGTCCCGTAGCCACACAGATATTCAGACCAGATTTCACACCACCATCGCCGCCACAGCACCGACACCACCTCCGCCGCCGCCATCCCACCGGCACGCGCGGAAGGACATTGCCAAGTGTATTCTAGGTTAGGCTAATATGTGTAGTGTAATGTAGTGTAGACATAAGTGTACTTAAGGTTGGTAAATAGAGTAGGCCATGGGGATACTTGGAGGTAGTTTTTCATTCAAAAGATTTAATCCATACCTTTTGAATGGACGGATTCCTGAGATCAAAGCTCACGCTAAGCAGTGCTTGTTGTGTGAGCGATGACCCCTACCAACCGACACGCCACGCCATGGTTACGGCAGAATTTGGTGGCGAAAGCTTTAAGTGCCGCAATGCTCGGCACGGTGCACCCAACCCTCTGACGTCATCTGATTTTTAGCGCAGCCGCTGCCACCGACCGCAGACTATATCTGTCAAGGACAAATAACGAGCGCTTGAAGCGACTCGAACCCACCCCGCCACGGGTGAGTGCATCGGAAGACAGGCGCTCCTACCAACAGAGCTATCGGGACGGTAAAAGCCATCAGGACGGACAAAATAAATATTGCATGCGCATGGAAAACGCAGGGCTCTGAGCCAAATTCTGTTCATATCGGATTATCCTTTTTCAGTTTATCAGCGCAGTTCAGTTTCAGTATTTATTAGATATCGAGAAGGCCCGTCCGTGGATATCAGAACAACACGGACCGGTGACGCCCCCCCCCTCTCTCTCTCCTCTCTCTCTCTCTCTCTCTCTCTCTCTCTCTCTCCTCTCTCTCTCTCCTCTCTCTCTCTCTCTCTCTCTTTGTGGCACATCGGCATGTGAGTAGCGCGCGAGTTAGCCACGGCACCCTGCGGGGGTAGACGAAAGACGTAGGTCCCTGTCGGTGTAGTTTAGGTAGGTGTGTGGACATTCCTGTCAGTTTCTTACTTTGATCGTTCTGTGCATTGATTTTCCAATTTTGCCATTTTTACTTTTGCTGATCTAGCTGCTGCGTTAGTTGCCATAATGAGTTCCTCTTCCATTGCGCGTGGTATGTAGACATATTTCTCAAAGACTTTATCGTTTATCCATCCTGCGAACGTTCTTGTAAGCCGCTTCATCAAAATTGTACAAGGCCACTTGGCCTGCCGATCCCAGTCGCTCCGAGCTGCTGTTTATGTAACCTCACGATCTCAACACTTTGAATGCACGCTTAGATTTTAAATGCACTCATAGTGTAATATTTTCGCCACGCCGCCTGCCATTACCTGCTACCAAATATGTGGAATAAACTAAAAATATACTTTAATTGCGCATCTAGTGTATTTCTAGTTCTATACTGCAATTAATGTACTGAATTTCATTCTACCCGGCATTTGTGCCTTTGTGGCATTGAGGCACGGAGTGCTGGTGATGTAATGGGTTGGGGGACGATTAGTTGTTGGTAGCTGGGCCCGTGGGGTTGCCGTCTCCTGTACTTAATAGGTATGACAAAGTATAAAGAAGTAGTCCTGGATATCAATTATATGATTGACGTTCAATTGATTTAGGGGCAATGCATGCCGAGTTGTTATATGGATTGTTGCTAAGGGGTGGTGCGCGTCCAATCAGCAGCTAGCAATATCCAATTTGGGGGTACAAGCTCTGGATACAGACAAGACAAATGTCTTAGTGGCGTGTTACCTGTCATCTGCCCCTGTACTTCCATCTCCCCAGTGCTACAAAAATTGAAGGGAACTATGTATGCTATAAATCCTAGTGCATAGAGTGTGGTGCTCAGTTGCTGCACCCAACTCTACCAGATGCAATGTTAACAGCACCATTATTTCAGGTCATGATTCCACAGTGGTGGTTTCATGTAAAATACTCTAAAAACTCTTCATTAAGGAATGAAGTGCAAATTCAGTACAATTTGGCTTGGCCTCAGTTTGGTTACACAAGCATGAGGCTCGGCACACCAATGTTGCCTGGGCATCCATTGTATTGCTTGGATTTGTTGCAAACCGGGTTAGCATCAGATATTGAAAACCATGCTCTGCATGATTGACATGTTGTGCTTCCTATGATATCTGTGATTCCAAAAGGTTCTGTAACTATGGCAAGTTGGGGTTTCCATTCCATGCCAAACTCACTTCTTTACACTACTACTGTGTCATCATCACAGAACACTTGCTTGCAGATTGTTGTTCATGGCTATAGAGCATCATTTTTAATGCAGATACCTAATACCCATAAGACAAGCCTTGTAGTAGTTGCAAAGGAGGTACTGCTACTGCCTTAAAACAGTGATCTTTTGAGCAATAAAATTTTATGGTAATTGAATGGTAGACATGATATGCATTTAGGTAATTCTTTAAATGTAGAATGTTTACCATTGCAACCATACTGATCATTAAGCTTCAATAACTGCCAGATGGTCTTCCATTCTTCATATAGAGAAAGCCCCACAATTTGGTGTTGAGCCAATTAGCAATTACAAGTTCTCTTTTATGGGTGTGATGAGATCTTATGGTCCTTCTGCTTCATTATGATTGCTTTGCTTTCTTTTGGAGCAGTATGAGTACATAGCTCAAAGACAGTTTTGTTGTAACAACTAATGCCCCAAGCTCATTACCTGCTAACTGTGTTGGTTTGTTCACCTTGGCATTTGATAAGATGTAAAGCCCCATCATTGTCATAGTCAGCTGTTAGGTGGGCAATGTCAGGGCTTGATATATTGCAGGGTGTGATCAACCACAGGATATGATCATCATATTAGATCAGGCATGGTTGCAGAATGTGTTAAAGAAAACTGAAATATCCAAATTTAAGTGTAGTGAAGTAATCACAATGGGTGCCATAGCCATTCTAGTGGTGAACTAGTTTCCATGTCCGTCTTAGCATCGTGCATAGCTGGTGACAATGACAGATCTAGAATTGTGAAAAGGGGGTGCATTGAGATCTAGAATGGTGAAAAGAGGGTGCAGGATAATGAAGGTATGGCAGAACCATAGTCCAACAGATTGTCTTAACTTCAAGAAATTCATTACATTTGGTCTACTCTTATTCCTGCAAGTATTCTAGTTCAAACTCCTATTGAGCATTGCCTAGATCAAAGGTCTATGTATTTGCCATTTGTGGCCTGGCTGTCATCTTGAAGAGCATGCACAGTTGTCCCCCTCCCCCTCCCAGATGCACATTTGGCTGGTGACAAATGCAGCCAGCCAAATGCTCATCACAAAGTGGTGTTTGATATCTGATGCTCCCTTGGACATTTCCAGCTCTCCTGCATTCCATGTCATTGATGGGGGAGGATGGGGGGGGGGGGGGGGTGACTTAAACAGTCGCAGTTGGTGATTCAAATTACATGAAGGTGTGATTGATATGGGGAGGGGGCAGCTAGCATTTTATGGTATCATGCATGCCCCAAGTTTTTGTGAGCTTTTATTGATTTCAGATAGTTTTATCAATTTTGATTGTTTTCCAGTTCTTATGTGCCTGCTCCTGGTTTTGTATGCCAAAAGTGTCACCTGATCATGGATGGCATTGTAGGCAGCATACATAGCCAGCGAGAAAAGAAGTGGACCAGATCCACAGTGTGAAGCTCAGACTTCAGCTGCATCCAACACCTTACATACTTTTGAGAATGTATCCTGAAGGAACTTTGGTCATGGAACTCTACCCATCGCAATAGCCCAGTTGGTGGGAGTGCCCACCTTCCAATCCACGGATATCCTCCTGCCTGGCTTCTAACCCATGGAGGGGAGGATCTGAGTTACTTCAGGCATTCACCATTTGCCTTTGTCCTGGGTGACCGGCGGCTGTGACGGTGTCGTGAAAGTCAGGTGACGTCAGAGGGCGGAACAGGATGTGCAGAGTATTGCAAGACATTGAACTTTTACCCTGTATTCTGTCATTAACCTGGAATTTTAACCTGGAATTTCACGGTCGGGTGACGGGGGTCAGGGCTAACGCAACGAGCACCATTTGGCGTGAACTCTGATCTCAGAAATTCATCTTTGAACTGAATCTTAAGATGAATTTGTTGCTGTGCCCCTTTGCAGGCATTTTGCCTGTGGCTTGGCTATGGTCCCAGCCCCACTCGATCACTTCCGCTGGCGAGGCCGCAGATGCACGGATACGGGCTCTAAACGAGAGACAGTTAACATCTACACAGCAGTTTGCCCGTTTGTTTGTTTGTTTTGTCAGGCAGCAGCGGCGCGCGCGCGCCCGTCTCCATCATGAACCCGGACGACAAGCCGCCGCCGTACTCGGAGGTCTCGCCGCCCGGCCAGCAGTACATGCCGGAGATGCACGGTGGTGAGACTACCGGCAGCGGCGCTCGAGGGGGACCGGCAGCGGCGCCCGAGGGGGGGGGGGGGGCGGCAGCGGTGCTCGGGGGAGGTCCGACAAGTGCCGTGAGCCGGGGTGCCGGGGTGGCCCGTGACCGGCCGGCGCAGGGCCCGCCGGCGGCTGCAGACGGCGGCGCTGCTGCCGCCAGTAGTCAGCCCGAAGTCGCCGGGCGGTGGGCGGGCCCGCCCTGCGGCTGGCTCGGGTCGACCCCAGGTCGCGGGTCAGCGGGCGACTCCACCGTAGCCCCAGCCGCCGGGCGCGGTCCGGCGTCATGGCGGATGTGAAGCTTTCTCACCAACGTGGGCTTCGGCGTGACCAGGATTGCGCCCTGCGGAGAAACCAGAGCCGGTCGCAGGGGCCCCCACAGTCGAGTGGTTCCCCTCCTCGCCACGATAGGGCCTTTTTTGTTGTTTTGTTTCGGAGCACTTTCGTAGGCTCTGGATCCTGTTGTGATGCCTCGGGCCCATCTTTATTCCAGAATCCCTGTAGGGGTCTTAAACTAACAAAAAGTACGTGGACCTGCAGCCCCAGGAGTTCCCACGCCAACTCCAGGTGGAGTGGTGACGGAGGGAGGTGGTCCCAAAGGCTCCCCCTTGGTTGGGCTACCGGCTGACAATACGTGTGATGCTCGAAATGTGTGAATTGGGTCTGCTTGGGCGAGCCGTGCGTTTGGGGTCGGATCGAAGAGAACGCTTCCAGGAATATGGGCTCGAATCTGGCGGCCTTTTAAACTATTACAGTCCTCCCAACAGCATTACGTGTGTCTGAACGTCTTTGAGCTGTGTTGGTTGTTTGCATGTGTTGTGAGTGCCCGGCCTACCTTGTCTGAATCGTCCGCAATATCCGACGTCTCCTCACAATGTGCGTGTCTGCGAGCGTTACCGAGTCGGCTGGCCTGGGCGTGACCTCTGCCCTGGGCTTGACCTGCAGCCTCACCTTGTGACCTAAACGCTGACCCTGCCGTGACCTGAAGCGCCAAGGGACGCCAACGCGAAGATTCACCCAGGCCGTGGCATGTGACCTGATAGTGACGTCAGGTGTGACCTGGTCGTGACCTGAGCGCGACCTGCGCGTGACGGTCGCGCGCCGCCGCCGGCAGGGCCTCCTGTCACCAGTCCTGCGGGTCCGGGTCCGCAGCATTACAGCGGCCCTCCAGGCCCGGGTCCTCAGCAGTACAGCGGTCCTCCAGGCCCGGGTCCTCAGCAGTACAGCGGCCCTCCAGGCCCGGGTCCGCAGCAGTACGGCCCGCAGCAGTACGGGCCCCTGCACGGGGACCGGGTGCCGCTGGCCGGCGGCGAGCCGCGCTCCTACGGCAGCGTCACCTACGTCACCCACATGCCTGCCCACGAGGTCATCGTCGTCGGCGGCTGTCCCGCCTGCAGGGTGAGATGCGTGTCAGAGCCTGTACGGCGTCCGCTTGGTGGGGACCCGTGTCAGAGACTGTCCCACGTCTCCCGGGTGGGAATGGAGTCTTGTGTGGGCGCCATGCTATCACGGTAGTCGGTGCGCCTTAGAGCCCGAGTCATCATCTTCATCGGCATTAAGGTTGTCCACCGACTGCCGGCCCGGGGAATAAGTCAGAGGCTGTCCGCTGGATAGGTGGGAACCTATGTCAGAGACTGTCGTACCCCCTGGGTTAGGAACTGTGTCGGAGGCTGTCCCCCGCCTGCGGGGTGAGGAGGCCCGCGAGAGGAGAGGCGCTCGTGCGGAGCCGGGCACGTGTGTCGGCGGCTCGGCACGGTGTGCTGTGTCAGCTGCTGGACACAGCTGGTGCCGTGCGACGGCGGCGGCGGCGGCGGCGGCGGCGACTGCATGAGCCCGTCCCGGCTGTTCGTGCCGGCGGGGCATGACGCATGGCAGCGTGACGGGGCGTTTCCAACGGCTCGTGTTGACCTGCGGCGCCGAGGCTGCGCAGCATGACGCAGCGGCCGGGCGCGGCGCCGGCCCGCTCCCGGCGGACGGCGCGCGCGGGACGGCGGGCGGCCAGCGCGGCAAGCCTGCCTTAATTTGACCCTAGCCTGGCAGCCGGTGGTGCGCGCCGCTAACTCGCCGTGCAGCAGCGCCTCGGCAGCAGCTTCCGCCGCCGACCGACTGCGCAGGTCCTCAGCTGCCGACTTCGAAGCGGCGTGGGTCGCGGGCGCTCTAGGCGTGTTCAGGTGTTGTGCTGAGATCGTGGTTTGTTCGTTGCAGATCGGCGTGCTGGAGGATGACTTCAGCTGCCTCGGCATCTTCTGCGCCATCTTCTTCTTCCCTCTCGGCATCCTCTGCTGCCTTGCCACGCGCCAGCGGCGCTGTCCAAACTGTGGCGCCATCTTCGGATGATCCGGCGAAGGTCGAGTTCCGGTCACGGTCGATAGGGCTGTGGTATTGCGCGCAATTCATGAGCTCTAGACCGACGTGGTTTGAGAGAGCTCTTGCTGTCCGGAACACAGTGCCAAAAACGACCTCACGCTTCCCTTCCCGTTGCCGAAAATGACCTCCGATTGACCTCCGATTGACCTTTGGCCCACTTCAATTGAGGTGCCGCGATCTCGCCTTTTCCGCTGTTTCCCGCGCACACGTGGAGGGAGTCTTGATTCGGTGATAACCGCCTCAGTGAAAGGCTTTTGAGTGGGATCATTGCAGGATATTGAGTTGAGCCCAATTTGGATATCAAGGTGAACCGGTCACTGGCTTGAAACAAAATTGGGGACGTGTGTGTTTCGTGCTAGCCGTAGGAACGCGCCTTTGACTTATGCCGTGTAGTGCTGAGCGCGGGTCGAGGGGAGGAAAAGAGCGCCGACGAGTCCGACACGGGCGCTCTATATAGGGTGAGTACCGGGGGTAGAGCACTGTGCCTGAAGTGCTTTCTCATTACGGCACTGAAGCCAGTTATTCATCTCGTGTGTAGCGTGTAGGGCATCCCGTTATTCCATGATGCTATTTCAACATTCGTATCCGCTGTGTGCACGAGTATTGCTATAGATACTGTATCATGTATGCTGTATCCATGGTTGTATCCACAAAGCACGGCTGGCGCGCGTGCCGAGCGTCCCCGCTGGCGCCGTACGCCGCGCTGGCCAGGGACCTATGTGGACCTCTGGCCATGACATCGGCGCCTATCCGATGCTCGCCGTGTTTATGGTGCACTCGGGTAAGCATTGGTCGTCGGCGCATGCTGCCGCGTGGTCCTATTGTTGATTGCAGGAGTGAATAAATATATTTCGTTAATGACGCGCGGCTTTCGTCAACGAGTGTTCGTAACCTAGTGATGAAGGCGCTAGGTTGAGGACCGGAAGGTCCGGGTTCGAATCCCGCCGTGCGAAGCATTTTTCAGACTCTACTTCCAGCGAGTTTGACATCAGTTGGGACCCTAGCATTGGTCGGTCTCGATGGCGAGCACGACGAATGGACCGCACCGAAAACAGGACACAGAGCGGGGGGGGGGGGGGGCTGCAGTGACCCGTGCCTCTACGCGGGTGTCAGGGCGTCGGCAGCCCATCAGCCAGACCGCTCCATCGGCTACAGCCCACCAGCCAGACCGCTCCGCCGGCGGCAGCCCACCAGCCAGACCGCTCCGCCGGCGGCAGCCCACCAGCCAGACCACTCCACCGGCGGCAGCCCACCAGCCAGGCCGCTCCTGCGTCGGCAGCCTACCGGCGCCGCACGGGCGACACCTGCCGGCGGCGACCACCTGCCGGAGGCGTCCCACACTAAAGCGCCGCCCGTCACTACCGTGCTGGATGGGATACACGAGGAACACCGTGCACGTCTGCCAAAACTTGAGCGATGTGCCCTGACTTTTACTAACAACACAGCAGTCGGAGGAAGCGCGTGAGCCAGACCCCAGCATCGGGAGAGTCGGGCGAGGAACACAGCACGCGAATGTCGGTTATGCGCGGATGAGGCCGAGGGCCAGAGCTTGTCCGAAACCTCGCTCCCCTCCCCACCCCGCCGCAGTTTCAGTCTCGGGCTCTTCGACATCTGCGCTGCGTCCACTCGGCGGCGGTGAAGGCCTCTGTGGGCGTGCCGATCTTGGAGTGGGGGGCCCGGCTGCGTCAACCACCGCGCGTCTGAAAAACCAGGGGTGCGGGGTTCGATTCCCGCGGTGCCCGTCCTCGCTGCCAGGGTGATAGGCAGGCGGAGATGTCTGGCCTCAGCAGCTGAGTGCGTCGTAAAGCCCCAACGACGACGATGGCGAAGGCATCGATGGCCTTGGCGGATGAGGTAAAACGACCACCCCCGAGCAGGGGTGGGCTGCGACAGCGCATGACCTGGTGCATGGCGCCATTTCTGTCGTCGCGAGCCCAGCAAACGACACACGCTGCCCCAGCGAAGACCTCGGGCGGCTGCTCCGCACAAGTGGACACCATGGGCACCTCGGGGGATGCTTGTACCAGACACATCCGCGCCGATGACAAGGGAGCGCGTATGGTAGCGTGTATTGTGTCCATCACCTACGTGTAAAGGGAGGTCGCGCGGTGCTAGTTGGTCGCCAACAGCCGGTGTGTGACCCGCGCGTGACATTTTCGTTTACAAAAGAGAGCGGAGTGCATGCAGTCGGGTACGCCGATGATCTGTCGGCAGCAGAAGGTCTGACATGGCCGGGATTCCGACGATCGGGTGCACGGGGTGTCCGCGCACCCGAGAACGGACTCGCTCGTCGCAGTGCGTCTGATGACAGGCACGACTGTAGGTCTCCGTTGCTGGAAACATGTGATTTGTTCCGGAAAGCCCGTCCCAGGTGGGTCACCCTTTGCCCCATGTGATCTGTCGCTGGCGAACGATCTGAACACTGACGACGGGGATATTTGATGACGGCTGGGGTCTGCGCACATGAGCCGAAATGTATGCAATGAAACGCGATAGGATGTCGGATTCAAAGCCACGTGACTACACCTGCCACTTCAAATGTGTTGACACGCGCTCGGGTGGGGGTCAATTCTCCCCCCCCCCCGAAAGTTTATACACGGCGTGGTTCGGAAACTATGTTGTACGCTTAGCGCCAGGGCTCGGACGCGGAAACTATTCGGAAACTATGTAGTACGCTTCGTACGCTTAGCTTTGCATAGCTGCCGGCAATCAAACAGCAGATCTTTTGGTATAAATAATTAGATGTGCATTGTAAAGGCGCTGATCTATGACCAGTCAAAGCCAGGCTGTGACTGTCAGCGGAGACAATTTCTGGGGAATCCTTCAACATGATGCGACAACGTAGTTTTGTACGAAACTACACATATATGTTATGTTTTTAGGCCATACAACGAGCAGAGTAAGCATTGCAACAAAATCCATTGACCTTGGATCAGCAACCAAGGTCGGACCGAGGTCAAAACCAGCCAGCTGTTTTACTAGATTATGGGCTGTACGGAATAGTTTCTGGTGCTCATTTCGAATTTATTTCTAAGAGACCGTAAGAGACAGTTTTTAAGGACTTCCTAAAGGTCCGAGCAGGTAACTGACCTAAAATGACCGTGGTTAACATTTTGGTTTTAGGAACATGCCGCCTAGCGCAATCCTTGACACTGATTCAAACGCTGTAACCATTTTGGAACTCGGAGCTGTTGCATTGTTGCGCCTGTTTTTGAGAATATTACCGCTTCTCGGCGCTGACGAACAAGACTGACAACGACGTTGTAACAGCGCAATTGCTCGGGCTGCCGCGAAGGTGTTGATCGCTAGGCAGGTACATGCGCTTATCAGTACACCACTAATGTCTACACGGGCGCGTAGTAATTTAATTACGCATAGTATCGGCTGTATCCGACATTACGACACTAGTATTTGCGTAGCAGGACGTTTATACTGCGCTTGTGATTTTTTAAAACACCAGTAGGTGCTGCTCTTGTTTTCCTTCTGCAGGAGTCCAGCTTTGTTCATGCAGAGCGTGGTTCTTACAGCTGCAAATGTGTGCGATGTACCGCCAGTTAAACACGATTCATACTTGAATTAATGCCATCTATGTTTTAATTCAGTTATTCTTCGACCGACTGGCACGCGCAATTGCTTGCAAAACTGAAGGAACCTGTTCTGGGCACGTTTGACCTTGGGCTGGCTTGGTTTCGCTTGGAAGGTTTCATGGCGAAAACTGATCCTGGCTGCTCAGCTGATAACGGCCTCTCCATTCAAATTAAGTGGTGAAGTGCTGGTTGAGTGGGGCAGCGCTACGTCGTATGCGCAACTGGATAACATACGCATCGGAAATGTCGTCTTTACTGCACCAACTGGCACTCATGTCGCACTCATGATGCACCCATATGGCACGATGTTAACCAGCTTGCCGATCGGTATGTTCGTCCCGTGGGTTCAATGCATACCAAAGACAACAAACGAGTCCCTGCGTCATATATGAGCTATGCAACCTGAAACCTGTGCCCATCACAAAGAAACCGATCAAACAGCCTGCGCTGACCTGATCCCCAAGCGTCTGCCTGCGAGCACACGGCACCGATATACTGGCTGCGCTTGGCGGTGGCCCCGTGACGTCACTGCTGGCGCTCGTGCTGGCTCGTGCCAAGCAGGCCGCAGCGTGCGAGGCGCCTGAGAAGGGAGACTCCAGGTGCCCCGACGCACAAAAGGGGAGCTCCGGGTGCTCCGACGCTCAGAAGGGGAACTCCGGGTGCTCCGACGCTCAGAAGGGGAACTCCGGGTGCTCCGACGCTCAGAAGGGGAACTCCGGGTGCTCCGACGCTTCGAAGGGGAACCCCGGGTGCTCCGACGCTTAGAAGGGGAACTCCGGGTGCTCCGACGCTCAGAAGGGGAACTCCGGGTGCTCCGACGCTCAGAAGGGGAACTCCGGGTGCTACGACGCTCAGAGGGAGAACTCCGGGTGCTCCGACGCTTAGAAGGGGAACTCCGGGTGCTCCGACACTCAGAAGGGAAACTCGTGGTGCTCCGACGCTCAGCAGGGGAACTCGTGGTGCTTCGACGCTCAGAAAGGGAACTCCGGGTGCTCCGACGTTCAGAAGGGGAACTCCGGATGCTCAGATAAGCCGGGGAACCCGTCGAATGCGAAGCTGCGGCCGGGCTCGCCCTGGTCCAGCGAGCTCAGCGCCGCCATGTCCAGCTCGTCTAACTGGAAGCTGAAAATGTCGCCGTTCTCGCGGATCCGCGTCGCCTTGGTCGACTTGGGGATGACGATGATATCCTGCTGGGCCAGGAAGCGCAGCAGAACCTGCGCCGCCGTCCGCTTGTGCTTCTCGGCCACCAGACGCACCACCGGGTTGTTCAGCAGGTCCGGCAGCTCGACCGTCACGCCGCGGCTCTCGTACAGCGCCTTGCGGCCGGGGGAGCCCAGCGGACCGTAAGCCGTGATGGCAACGTTGTGCTTCTTGCACGCCTCGCGCAGTGCTCGCTGCTGTAGGTAGACGTGACATTCCACCTGGTTAACGGCAGGAGGTATCTGAGCGTTGGAGGCGATCTTCAGGACTTGCTTGGCGTTGAAGTTGGACACGCCGATGGTCTTGGTGAGGCCCAGTGTCACCATTCTCTCCATCTCCTTCCACAGTGCGATCAGGTCTGTGGAAGGATCAATCAACAGCCTTCCGTCCTTGATCGGAAAGATGTCTGTTTCACTTCTCTCTATACAACCGGCTGGAAAGTGAATCAAGAACAAATCAACGTAATCGAGACCCAGCAGCCTAAGCGACTTCTTCAGGTACTTCTCCACCTTGTCAGCCTGCATGGCGATCAATGGCAGCTTGGTGACGACGAAGAGCTCATTCCTGGTCATCTTGCCCGTCTTGAGAGCGGCCTGAATGCCCTCTCCGACGCCGTCCTCGTTCTGGTAGTTGTAGGCGGTGTCGATGTGCCGGTAGCCGGCCAGCAGTGCGGCTTCCACGGCGGCGGCCACCTCCTGGCGCGGCGCCTGCCAGCAGCCCAGCCCCAGCAGCGGCATCCGCTGGCCCCCCGACAACGTCACCGACGTGTTCATGGTGCGTGGTTCGTCCGTCTGTCCTGTGCTCCCTCCGTCCGTGCCGCTCAGACGTGACTGAGGCGCCAGGCGCCGGTCGGTCGGCTCGAGCTGCGACCTTGGCGGCCGGGTACCTCAGTGGCGGCAGACGCGCAGTCAGCGTTCCCTCAGCGGAGGGCGAGAGGCGCAAGCGCGAGATGCCCTCCGAAGCCCTGCGAATTTGAGCCAAAGTCCTACGAAATCGACCATAAGGGTAAGCTCAGTGGAGGGGAGAGGCTGCCCTCCCCCTGGCAACGCCCCTGATCGGCGAACGTTCAGAGCCCAGAGCGTTCCGTGTCTGCGGGGCTCGGGCGCTGAGAGAGCATGACTGGGCCAGAAGCGCCTCTCTCCGCCGCGCGAGGAGCGACGCGACACCAGCCTGGCCTCGGCTCGAGCCTGAGCAGTCACCGTCGCACGGGCGGTGTCAGCGCGTGGATCTGGGGAGGACAGGTCTCATGCCGGATTTGTGAGAAATCACTCAGCTGTCACTGCGTCACGTGCTCGGGGCTGAGGACGGCATGGGCCTGAAGGCAGTGTAGGATAGCGTAGGGGTGCCGTTGAATGGTGCATGCTCAAAAGTTCGTCCTTATCGCAAGAAAAATCCGTGCCAACGACTAAGTTTCGCAAAACGATTTAGGGAGCGTGGAGGGGGGGGGGAGGGATCTGAGCAGGGAAAAGAATGCGACCCACTTAAAAAAATCGCCAAAAATGGGATTTTCCCTGGATTCGGGCAATTTTTTTCCAGGTTTGGGGAGCCGGAGTCCAAGTTGGGGAGAGGCTGAAGTCCCGCAAACCTATGGCCTTATATGTTGCCCGACTAGTACCAATGGAAACGACTGGACTTTCCCATGCTTTGACTTGCTTGCTTGCTATGAAATAGACCATTTAAAGATAAAGACGATACACAGTGAGAGAGACGGACCTCAAGACTTGAGTGCACAACTTGACGAAGGCAGCCGGTCTTCCACCGAAGAATATTAGCCTGGACCCAGTGCCCGGTGGATGCAAATGCATATGGATACGCTCTAGTTCAACCGCACTGGTTGTGGCGTCGTTTCTGAGTGATGAGTGAGAGTCTGTGTTACAGTCCACCAGGAAATGAAACACTTGGCTCACCACGGCTCTTCACCAATCTCCTGAGTGAAACACCTTTTGTTTCACTGGCCACTGCTGCGTTCATTATTTGCGCCTCCTGAAAGCCGAACCCAGCATGAGCTGTGCTTGTTTTCATCATCTGTTACCACCGGTCCAGACGAAGCCAGCCTGGTGGGCAGTCCCGCCTTAGAGCGTGCAGACCAGCCGGCGTGTCGCAGCCTGACGGTGTAAAGTAGCGCCACTGTCGGCTGTATGGCGCCACTGTCGACGAGTGTGGGCGCCCCTAGGCATGTCGCAGCCTGACGGTGCAAAGTAGCGCCACTGTCGGCTGAATGGCGCCACTGTCGACGAGTGTGGGCTATTGACTGTTGACTGTAAGGCGTTGACCGTTGACTGCGACATTTGATTGCGACTGTTCACTGCTGACTGCTTGCTGTTGACTGTGACCGTTGACGCTCACTGTTTGCTGTGACTGTTGACTGCTGACTCTCAGCTGTTGGCAGTTGGCTGTTGAACGGTGTGGGCGCCACTGTCCCCTGTGTTGACTGTTTATTGTTTGCTTTTAACTGTAGACAGTTGACTGTTAGCTGGGCAGCCCTGACAGCCGAGCGTGACCGGCTACCGCCGAGCTGCTCTGGCGGAAGGCACATGAGAGCTATGCGTCGTGCCCGTGCGTTGCCGGGCTGCTCTGGCGGGAGGCACATGGGAGCTATGCGGCATGCCTGTGCGTTGCCAAGTTGCTCTGGCGGGGGGGGCCATGAGAGCTATGCGGCGTGCCTGTGCGTTGCCAAGCTGCTCTGGCGGGAGGCACATGGGAGCTATGCGGCATGCCTGTGCGTTGCCAAGCTGCTCTGGCGGGAGGCACATGAGAGCTATGCGGCGTGCCCGCGCGTTGCCAAGCTGCTCTGGCGGGAGGCACATGAGAGCTATGCGGCGTGCCCGTGCCGGTCGGCTCTTCGGTCCGACACGTGACCCGGCCGCCGGCGCTCGCAGACTCCTGCGCGATATCGCTCGGCAGCGGAGGTCGCCGCTAGATAGCGCTGCTGATATCGCACGGCTGTGAGGGTCTGCAAACAACTTTGTACAGACGCACTGTCCTCTTACCGATCCGATGTGGTTAGATTTAAAGCATTTCTGTGTAAGCATGGCCGGTATCTTTAGAAGTGTGCAGGGGCGTAGCTTCGCATTTGACTTGAACGGGGGGGGGGGGGGGGGGGAGCAGTGAAGAAGAATGTCGGAGCCTGCCTCCAAGAAGACGCGAAGAAGTGGGCTTCTTCCTGAATTGGACACCCTTCCTTTCAAAGCAGGAAGGCTGGAGCCAAGTGGCGACGGCTGGAGTTCACCCATGATTCTTCGACACATTGTAAATGCAGCACCACGGGCTGTGCAAGCTCTCTGTCTGGCGGCTGACGCTGGGCGCCGAGCTTGCTGTCTGGCGGCCGACGCTGGGCACCGAGCGCTGCCCGCGCCTGGGCCTCTCTGCTATCTAAAACGGTCTTGGGTCCCCGGTTTGCCTGAATTCGGCGGCGGTCTTTCACGATCGAGCCGAGTGCAGCCCACCGCAGCCGCCGCCAGACGACCTGCTGTATCGCGTCACTCGTGTGCCTCGAGTGCAGCCCGCCAAGCCGCCGCCACACGACCTGCTGTACCGCGTCACTCGTGTGCCTCGAGTGCAGCCCGCCACAGCTGCCGCCAGACGACCTGCTGCACCGCGTCACTCGTGTGCCTCTGGAGCCACCTAGCGGACGAAAATGTGACTAGAGAGGTAGCCCTGCTGACAGCTCATCTGACAAGCTGTGGCAGGTTCAGAGGAAGGGGCGAGGAGACACAGGGCCATAGTGTGGCCCTGGGCCGAAGGGACACCGAAATATCGTGTTGAAGGGGCAGTAGAAATTCCATTTAAGACCCACATAAACTATGTGTTTAAGGCGCACCAAAGTTGAGGGGCACCTCAAACGGTCCCAATGATTCAAGTTCAACGTAGAAATAAAATAAGATTGACCTCTAGAAATAAGCGGGACTAACCTCCGAATCCGGGGGACTATTCCTGCCAAATATATTTTGCCGCTTAAAACTACGCATCTGAGCATAAAAAGCAGATCCGGAGACTTCTTTGCGAGGGGGAGGGGGGGGGGGGGAGGGCAGGAGGCACCACAGCAAAGTGCGCTCCCTCCCCTGACGAAAACCTGGATCCGCCCCGCCGAAAAGACGGTATGCTGAGAACGAAAGTGGCGTTGTCTGAGGGGGAGGGGAGGATTTTAGTGCATGACCACGTCCTGGAGGTGGCGAGGGCCTTGGTGCTGCCGGCCCAGTCCTGTTTGGCAGTTTCAGACGCTCGAAAGGCTTCTAAAACATCCAAAAATGGAGCATCGATGCATCAAAATCGGGTACCGAGCTTAAGGAGTTGCTCCTAATGCAAAAGCGGGGCTCTAAGGAACACTGGCAACACCAGTGGGGAAGCTGGTGTGGCAGCGGGGAACACTGGCAACACCAGTGGGGAAGCTGGTGTGGCAGCGGGGAACACTAGCAACACCAGCGGGGAAGCTGGTATGGCAGCGGGGAACACTGGCAACACCAGCGGGTAAGCTGGTGTGGCAGCGCTGGACAAGAGCGGCTGCCACACGCTTTCCAGGGGCTTTACATCAGGGCTCAGAGACCATGAGCTGATATAGTGGATCTGAGCAGGTGCCAGCTGGTGCTATTGCCAGTTGGTGCCAGTGGTGCTATTCGGCACATAAATCTCCCGGTTGACCGTGCGGATGATGACGCTCTTCTAATGATAAGTCCTCACCCAGCTCCCCCCCCCCCCCGCCTCCAACGTAAGAAGGTCCTGGCTGCGGCCCTGCTGAGAACGACCCGTTGTCAGAGGCGTGGGGTGCCAACACTGCAGCATCGCCACAGCCGTGCAGGCACTTCAGAGGCGTGGGGTGCCAACATTCCAGCGTCGTGACAGCCGTGCAGGCATCTCAGAGGCGTGGGGAGACAACATTCCAGCATCGCCACAGCCGTGCAGGCGTCTGAGGAGGACAGGTGTATGGCACAGGTCTCCTCATTCACGAAATGATCGTTCTGACTATGGTCTACAGCCTTATACAGCGGTAGATCACGCTCACTGTGTTCAATTACACCTACGCTCGTGGTTCATTCTAGATAAACAGAAAAAGCACAGCAAATTTAGCTGCGGCTGCTGTGACCTCAAGCAAAATAGGGTCAATTATTTTTTATTCATCAGATTATTTAGATTGTCAGGTCTCGGTGCCAGCATTGCAAATAGGTACGGGAGGTCAAATCTGCTTAGGTGTTGGAGAAATGTCGCCAAATGAAGCGTGTCCTACCAGACAAAAACAGGCTCGAATTTTTGGAAGACAGGAAAGTGTAGGGCATCAATAACTGTCTTAGTTCGCAGTCTTTGCAAAACAGCGATACTGATTAACTTACCTATCAAACGAGTGGGCGGGGGGAGGGAGGGAGGGAGGGAGGGAGGGAGGGAGGGAGGGAGGGAAGGAGGGAGGGAGGGAGAGACTGTGAAAGAGAGAGTGAGAGAAAGAGAGACAAGAGGCAGAGAGCAAGAGAGAGGGAGAAGGAGGAAAACTTGAAGAGGGAGAAAGAGAGAGAGGGAAAGAGAGAGGGGGGGGGGGGGGTCAGGAGTTGGGGGCAGGGTGCTGGTGGCAGCGGCCGGCTCCCAAAATGCGTGGTCCAGTCCCCCAGAGCACGCTCCGTTTTGGGCAATCCGGCGGCCACCTAACGTGTGTTCTGGCACCGCGGGAATGTTCCGCAAAACCAATCGCTTCCAGCGCCGGCAACGGGGTCCACAGGTCCAGCGGGCCGGCGTCGCGGCCGCCCTCTGATCGAGGCCAGGCCGGCAGACAGTGGCTGTGGTCGAACAGAACTACATCGGGGGCAGGGGTGACTCCGGTGAGAGGGGGC